CATGGCAGGGGGTTAGAACTGGATGATCTTAAGGTCCTTTCCAACCCAAACCATTCTGTGATTCTATGATTCTGTTTCACTATACAGTATCTGGAGTCCAAGCTGAGAAGGTCCTTCCAAGCAGCTAACAAGCTGCAGGCTTTGCATGCTGCTTGGAGTTTGGATTCATTCTTCCACCTTTATCACTAATGACTTTCACTGACAGGTAAGCCCCAAAGCCTATAATATTCCCAGTATGTTCTCATGTTGTTCATGCCCCCTTTAGTACCTACAGCTCCATCTTCTCTAGGTTCATCCCTACCTTTCTTGTTCTGTGGTGTCTTCAAGTATCCCTTTTCTCCCTCATAGCCCTATCTCACTGGGAATCCCATGGGACTCTAATGGTTGGACTTGATGATCTTAAAGGTCTTTTCCAACCTAGTTGATTCTATGATTCCATGACTCTCTTTTGAACTGTTGATTCACATTTTCTCAAAATTACCTTATCAACTCCCATGGCTTTATTCCTGTACCTCTCAAATCCCTCTTTTAATTCTGCTTTGGCTCGTAGGAGGAGAAGAGGTATTAACTCAGCAGGCTGTCTGAGGCTCTCTTAACATCAGGACTTGGGATGCAAGACCTGGACATTCTCTTATGGACATTTTGATTTGTTTATAAGATCTAACATTCCAACAAAAGGTTGGGTTTTTTAAGTGTTCAAAATTACCTTAATCTTCATAGTACTCAGAGCCAAAGCTGTAACCTCTTTCTGCATATGATCACCAATGCCAGCATACAGTGTGGTTCCTCCAGAGAGGACGTTATTAGCATAAAGATCCTTACGGATGTCGATATCACACTTCATAATACTGTTGTAAGTGGCTTCATGGATACCTGCAGATTCCATCCCTGAGTAGAAAGAAGTTTCAACATGATATTTCTCTCTGTCCCCTTCTGTTTCTTACTGTTAAAATGAGAGGAAGGTTCACCAGTCCAAGCTGTCTCCCTTCAGAAAGCTCCAGTTATGTGATGTTTAGGAGAGGAAGGACAAAGACAGGACATACTCCTCACCTTCTCTGTAATCTCAGCATAGTAATTATACAACCAATATACACTTGAGGGGAATGAAGATCCCCATTCTGATTTCATGCTGGGTTTGCTCCCAGTGACATTCCACACAGCTCCTGTATAAAATAATTCAGTAGCTCATCAATAAAAGAATTATTTAACATTTGAGAAAACATTCATAATGAGGCATTACTGCAATAGTTTGCCATGTTTATACTCATTTATGATGCTGTTAGCTAGCAATAGAAACCCACCTGGCATTTCAGTGAGCTACCTTGCTTTGGAGGTGTTAGTTTAATGTGAACGCCAGTACGGTGGAGCTAACTTCTGGTACTATTTTTTCCTAAAGAAGAGGAACAGACCAGATACAGTCCTGGGAAAACAGTTTGAAGCACCCGACCTTTTAACTAGATGAACACACACACCTTGGCCAAGATCTGTGATCCAGGAAACCCTGATTTCCATCGCTACATTTCTGATTCTGACCACTGTTGAGCACTAACTTATCCCTGCTACGCTTCTGGCAGCCAAATCCCTCTATCTGCTAAAGAGAATTTCTCCTGCTGATGCTCAAATACAGAACTTACAGCTATATTAATGCTTGAATAGTTTCCTTTCTACACACAAACATAGCTTCACCATTCAGTGCAATGGAAATGGTGCCAAACTGCCTGCAGCCATTTCGCACAGTCCTTGAGAGAGGAATTTAAGTGGGAAGTGGGAAATTTGTGAGGGCAGCATGAGTTACCACATAACTCCCATGAGTTCCCACATAAAGTGTCAGTCATCCACTGGAGAGAATGGGAATTCTAACACTAAAGATAAAACTACTGGAAAATAATGTATGATTTGATTTTCTAAGATTAAATTACAGATTAATATAATAAAACAATAAATGGAAGCAGTATCTAGATTAAAAACTCCCATAAGCAGCACTGTGCAGTTATGTATCAGCCAGTCAAGATCATAGAATCATAGAATCATAGAATAGTTAGGGTTGGAAAGGACCTTAAGATCATTTAGTTCCAACCCCCTGCCATGAGCAGGGACACCACACACTAAACCATGTCACCCAAGGCTCTGTCCAGCCTGGCCTTGAACACCTCCAGGGCTGGAGCATTCACAACTTCCTCGGGCAACCTGTTCCAGTGCCTCACCACCCTCACTGTGAAGAACTTCTTCCTTAGATCTAACCTAAACTTCCCCTGTTTAAGTTTAACCCCATCCCCCCTTGTCCTACCACTACAGTCCCTAATGAAGAGTCCCTCCCCAGCCTCCTTGTAGGCCCCCTTCAGATACTGGAAGGCTGCTATAAGGTCTCCACGCAGCCTTCTCTTCTCCAGGCTGAACAGCCCCAACTTTCTCAGCCTGTCTTCATACAGGAGGTGCTCCAGTCCTCTTATCATCCTCATGGCCCTCCTCTGGACTTGCTCCAACAGATAAATGGCATGATCTTCTAACAGTGCTCTAAAACATCATCTTAGAAACTCTACTGCACTTATAAGAGACTGAAACTATTCGATTCAGGTATTTCTAAACACAGTGTCCATGGCTTCTAAAGAATTCATTAAGTCAATAGAAGCTGCGTATATCTAAGGGCATCTGAGAATAAACACCTCAGTTCCTACAGCTGAAGGTTGTCTGTACTTCCTAAGAAATCCTTCTTTTCATTCTCTGTCAAGTCCCTAGAAAGAACAGTCTTGTCCCACCTATGAAGGATGGCTGGAAGAGAGTTTCCGGGCACCGGAACCACTCATTCCCAATGGTGATGACTTGTCCATCAGGAAGCTCATAGCTCTTTTCAAGAGAGGAGGAGGAAGCAGCAGTTGCCATTTCATTTTCAAAATCCAGTGCCACATAACAAAGCTTCTCCTTGACATCTCTCACAACCTCCCGTTCTGCTGCAGACAGCCAACAAGTTTTTAATCAACATACAGTGTGACAGCCAGGACACAGGTTTTCTTATGCATGTTTCCCTGAGTTCATGATGGTCACACAGCTGATTGGATTCTCACCTCTCTGTTGGCTCAACATCACTTTCCCTTTGCATCACTCATCAGCAAATAAAAGATGTACTGTACTACAGAATACTGTAAAGATTAATATTTACATGTTTATGTCACAAAACCTTGTGGTTCATCCATTACCAGCTACTAACTTTGTTCCTTTGTCTGTGAAAGAAGCATAATATCAAAACCAACAACCAGTTATACTTGTCAGTGACACGGGATTTCCTAATGAGGTGGCATCCTCATCGTTGATGCTCAACATACGTGCTGAAAGCCAAAGTCAGGAGAACCCCATCAGCTAACAGGCCAACCTAGGGACAGGGAATTTGAAGTTCTTGCCTCATACACACTTCCTTCATAAGAAGATGAGTAATAGAAAAAACGTATGTAAAGAGCATCCAAAGCATAAGTCATTACCTGTAGTGACAAAGGAGTAGCCTCTCTCGGTAAGAATCGTCATGAGATAGTCAGTGAGGTCTCTGCCTGCCAGATCAAGTCTCATGATGGCATGGGGCAAGGCATAGCCCTCATAAACGGGCATGTTGGGTGTGATGTCATCCCCAGAATCCAAAACTATCCCTAGGAAGTGAAAGAACAGGATAAGCTTGTTATTTTCCACTGATGCAGGCTCTCCACATAGACTCATAGAACCATAGAATGGTTTGGGTTGGAAAGGACCATAGGATCATCCAGTACCAACCCCCCTCCCATGAAGAAGGACATGCTCCATATTCCCAACTGAACCACACAACAACGATGCTCACATTGTCATTTCTATAACTAAAGAGCTATTCACATGAGACAAAGTCATTACCACAAACTAAGCAGCTTGGGGAAAAGAAGACATGTAACATTCAGCAAATTGACTGTATTGTTCCTGATGAACAGACACCAGCAACAATGATCTTACACGTATGGAGAGGCTTTCATTTCAGAGCACCCTCAGCACCTTACAGACATGAAATCATGTGCAAACTGTGAATAAAAACCTATCTATAAAACTAAAAACTGGAATCTGCCATTAAAATAAACCACCCCATAAGGGAAAATACAGCAATGGTTTATCTGCGCACAGCCCGTGTTACTCTTGGCTAGGAAATGAAGTACGTGTTTTCCACTCAAATGAATCAGGCATTTCTGATCCCAAACATGCACACAAATAGTGAAATTTTAAACAGAAAACAAGTATTTATGACAATCACAACTCCTGTAAGCTGCTGATCTTTTTATACAAAATCATATTGTGGCATCAGGCTACAAAGACAGATGGTATTTTAATTGTTTTCAAAGTATATGAAGACTCAAGGGTTGCTAAGAAGTAATTTATTGTCTTAATGCTTGATCAGACTCTTAATGGCAATAAGAAAACACCTCCATGTTAATTCAAACGGTCGCTTAACAGCAGACATCATTATATGATAGAAATTCAACATTTAAATAAAGTATTTTCATCTAGCTACTGAAGGGTTGGTTTTTTCCTGCTTGGAATAGAGCTTAACAATAGAGGTAGGTCTAAAGAAAGAAGGAACCATGGGTTTGGAACAATCTAGTTAAGATACAGCCTCATCTCCATGCTGGGCAATTAAGGGCAGTATCAAACTGTATCATTCTTCATCTGTTCATGTAGTTGAGCTGTAGGCAGTTGAGCTTTTGAAGCAGACATCCATAAATCTATACCCTTACCCTTCATGAAGTTGAAAACAACAAAAGAGGTACTTGCACAGCATGGTGGGAAGTCTTCAGTCTCCACAGGGCTATCAGTGCTTCTTAAAACACAGCTGCTGCATCATAATCAACATATATCCACAAGATATACATCCACAAGAGAAGGACAGGAGGAAAACACAACTCCCAGAATGACTCACCAGTTGTTCTTCCAGATGCACACAGAGACAGCACTGCCTGAATTGCTGCGTACATGGCTGGCACATTGAACGTCTCAAACATGATCTGGAAGGAAGAATATTAAAACCTTTAGGATCTGCACTTAAAAGTATCTGAAGAGACAGTGAATCTATTATTTTTTTAATGAATACTGCCAGTTACTACTCCAAGTCCCCTCCTGTGAACAGCACATTATGTTTTCTTTAGGATTTCATTAAAAGAACTGAAGATGACACCTTGGGATAACTTTTTTACCCTGATGGCAGGACTGCAAAAACGCAGCAACCTAAGGTTTATATATAATTTATACACACATATTAAGAAATGTGTAGAAGACACAGCTGGAAGAAGCCATGAGGAATAATCCTTCTATTCCTATCTCAAGGAATAATTTGCCATTTCTGACACAGCTTTGGTTCTGTCTCAAAATTCCTCTGCTGGAGCATCCACAAATTCCTCCAGCAAACAAATCACGGGATTTGGGTTGGAAAGGACCTTAAGATCATCTAGTTCCAACTCCCCTGCCATGGGCAGGGACACGTTGCACTAAACCATGTTGCCTTCTGCCTAAGATCTCATCTCAATCTCCCCTCTCAGTTTAAAGCTGTTCCCCCTTGTCCTATCACTACAATACGATCTAGCAATTATACTTGCTTTTAGCAGGATTTTCCTGGTGTCTAGCTAGAATCTCACTTGGTCTAGTTTGAACCCATTACATCTCATTCTGCCCCCTCAGCAAACACAACAGTTTCTTTTCTCTTTATGGTGTCCTTAGCCATATTCTCTTGTCTCATCCCCCACCTCCTCTAACAAGCTTCAGTTCTTTCCATCTCCTGTGTCAGATAAACTGCAATTTTATCCGAGCAGATGGAATAACATTTGTTTCCAGCTTGACTTCCACTGGGGCTCTGCTAAAGGAGCCCATTAAGGGCACACACTGAACTAACACTCTCTGGACAACTCCAGGCACTGTACCCTTTCTTAAACTAATGTTGCCTGCTTGGGGCAGGGCTACCCCATCACTAGTGGTGCTGCTGTGACACAGAATCATTTAGGTTGGAAACCACCCTTAAAATCAAGACCAACCATAAACCTAACACTGCCAAGTCCACCACCAAGCCACGTCCCTAAGCTCCATGTCTACACATCTTAAGAATCTCAAGGGATGGTGACTCCACCATCACCATTGTACCCATCAGAGCCACTGACATCAGGGGGTTAAACTTTGGATTTCATAAGCTAATCCCTTTGCCAAGGAAGTCTACTTTTAATGAAAAGTATGCTTTCAATTAAACAATACACAAATTACTGGTATTTCATAGTTAATGTAATTAATTTAATGCAATCAAGAATAAACAATAAGCCTTTAAACAATCTTGAAAACAGGATTTATCATTGCAGTATAATGACAGAAAAACAGTCCTAGACACGTCTACTGTATGAACCACGCTTTCTGGTTGCTATAAACTAGGTTTTTCTTATGGTCTGTTGTTTATTATCTCCCAGTTGTATTATCTCCCAGTAATGTGTGCTGTCAAGCTCACTACTTAACTAGTTTATTTACACTGTTGCTAAAGTGATGCATAATTTTCCTATGAAATACATGCCAAAAATTGGCACAAAGGGAAGTGCAGAGCTGCATCTGATTTTCCCAGGTGATTTGATACCTATATCTGTATTTAAATCACAATTTATTCTGGTTACATCACTGGCTGAATTTATAATGTGGACTTCTGGCCAGAAGGCTGCTCAAAAATATACAGACTTCAGAGGTTGACTTTTGGTTCTGATCTGAGTTTGCTAAATTAGACTATGTCACAGGCAGAAACGTTTAGCAAAGCATCATTTAAGTTGGAATGCTTCAGAGAACTTGGTTTCCCAGCACAAACATTACAGTTTTTGAGCACTTTTCCCCTGATCCCTGAAGGGGTGCTCCAACTAGGTGCTCCGCAGTCATCTGCATGATGGTCTTCAAACATCGTTATTCAAATCTTCCCCAAAAAGCACATTTCTGATACAATGACTGCATTTTGTCTGATACAGAAGTGTTGATAAAGTGACATTCTTCATGGTAGAAAGCAGGAGCTGGTGCAGCATGAGCTGAGGAGTTGAGCTACTAAAGGTTGAGCTCCTGGTAGCCTGAAGTAGGCACATGAAAGGCATCATTGATCCAAAACTCACACAGAAGTGTGATTCAGCTGGTACATAACCTGTGTTACAGCACTTGCAAACCTCACTTTCAAATACATCAATGACTCATCACTCCTTCAAAACAACTGATACGACTCCTGGGTTATCTCACACTGAAACTCAGCATCAGAAGCCACCTTTGCCTCCAGCTTTCCCACTTCCAGAACTGAACACACACAGTCTGGTGAACAAAAAAAACTACTTCAAGTTTTAAGAGGTAAGTTGCATATATATCACTGCCACACACAAGTACAAACCGTTTTAGGGACATCTGGAAATCTGATATTGCATGAGCAGCAAACTCTTGCTCTCTCATTGTGGCTTAAATCACTGTGCTAACCCACACCAACCCTAAGGGCTTATCTCCCTTTTTAAGAAGAAAGTTGAACACCCTGGACTATTTCTACTTTATCTGCTTCCATGCAGCAATGATCTGTGGCACAGCACATTGTGAATGCCCCATCCCTGGCAGTGTTCAAGACACAGCTGGACAGGGCCTTGAGCAACTTGGTCTAGTGGAAGGTGTCCCTGCCTGTGGCAGGGGGTTGGACCTGGCTGACCTTAAGATCCTTTCCAGCCCAAACCAGTCTGGGATTCTCTGATTCAGAGATTACCTGAGTCATTTCTTCATGGTTGGCCTTTGGATTCAAGGGGGCCTCGGTCAGCAGGATGGGGTGTTCCTCCAGCACAACCCGGAGTTCATTGTAGAAAGAATGATGCCAAATCTAAAAAGGAAAATCACTTTAGAAGAGTGTGCTGACAATCATTTCTTATGTCCACAGAAACTACACAGAAAGCTTTTCAAATAGAGGCTGAGTAATTATTGGGTTTTTTTTTACAGACATATCAAAATAGACAGAGAGCATATTCAAAAGAGAGCATGCAAGAGTGAATCTGCCCAATTCAACTGGTTTAGAACCAAACCCATTGGGTTTCTACAGTATGTAACAACAGAATATAACCTACACAGTGGAGTCCTTCCAGTTAGATTCCCTAAATGGAGCACAGCTCATCCTTTCTAAGCAGGGGCACTGGTTAGTTCCCACCCCCAACACTCTGACACAGAAGCTGAGCTGGGCACTGAACTGTTAGACCTGGAAAGGCTTCTCCACTTCAAGCTGCTTGGAGACTGATCCAGCTGCAAGTTGTTACCAAGATGGTTTTTAGAAATCTAATTATTTCCAAAGCAAAAGGCCCTTTATGCCACAGATATTTCAGCCAGTAAAACCTGAATCAAACTCTCACTTACTATAGAGCAGCTAAATCTCTTAGTCACAGTCTGTAAAGTACTACAGTATGTTTTTCATGTTAGAAGGCACTACCTGTATCAAACGATGCTGGCTCTGATAGTATGAGGACTCCGACTATGAGGAACTGAAGGGATTTTCTTCTTGATGCCAGGTCAAAGACAGACTGTTCAGTAACATGATGAAATATTTCTTATCTTCTCATTTAATTCTTTCTTACCCTTACTTCTCTTTTTTTCCTCTTTCTAGTTCAGCTTTGCCTGACCCAATAAGCTTATTTCTGAGCAAAAACCCATCACCATCAGGATAGTTTATGGATACATTTATTCGATTAATATCCTGGAAACAAGTATTATTATGCTTCAAAATGAACATAAGTGGAAAAAAGATGTCTGAATTTGGAGAACCTATAAACTCAACAGCTGTCCAGAGCTGGAATTATTCATTAAGAACATTATCAGCCCTCAGCTTCAGCTGTGAGGAACAACCTGGACTCATAAAGCAGGATCCTGCCTTAACCTCAGGCAGTTTGCAGGCTTTCCCTCAAAATCAGGCACAATTAAGCACTGTACAGCCCATTAGATTTGACCTAATAACCATAACATTAATGGATAATGATATTCTGTAAGGAACAAAAACAAACAGTTAGGTGTTGGATTTTATGGGTCATGAGTATTAAATGCAAGCAGCAAGCACAACAGCAAAGAGAAATCACTGAGGAAGAATTATTCCAACAGTTACATTAAACATTTACGTAGTCACTAGAGCCAGAAAATGCTCCATCCCAATGCTTTCCCTCCCATACATCGTCAGTTCAGCTGCTTGTGAACAGATTAACAGTGATGTACAATGCCCTGTATTATTATCCAGTGGAAAACAGAGCAGTCCCAATTTGAATATTGTGAATTGAAGCACAGAAGAATGCTTCATTTCATCGCCTACATGTTCTCCTCCTCCATTCACACGGATGTCTGCGCGTCCCGCAGCATCCTCGCTCTGGATTCCTCTCACACACATGCACATTCAGCCTAATCCTTTGGTGACCCCCCTTTTTGTAACATGGGGATGGTTGGACACTGCATTATTATGCTTTTGTCCCATTTTTGGCACGTTACCCAGTAATTCTCTTGTTCCTACATCATTCTGCTTTTAGTAGGGACCCACTTTCACATGTAATTCCTTCACCCATTTAAGAAACAACGAGAAGTTCAAGCAACAAGAACCCATCTTACCACTATTTGAATTACAGCACTGCCTGAAGCCTCCACCACATTACACCCTAAAAACAATCAACCTAGCCATGAGTTTACACAACAGTAAAGCACATGTCACCTTTTTCACCTTCTCTAGTTCCTTCTCCTACCTAGATTTTAGCTCGCTCTAGCATCCAGCATTACCCAGAGAAAGGACACATACAAGTAACAGGACAATTTCCAGATACAGACACCAGTTTCTGAGGGAAGAACATGAAATAGTGATCTCCAATTTATGGGTTTTTTCCTAAAGGGAAATACAATTTCTTCCTGAATGTAGACAGCAGGAAAATTATGAGGAAGAACAACATAACGGGATGTATGAGGTAGATTCTACTCTGCAGAAAGGAGTAAGGTATCCTCCAGCAAGCAGAGCAATAGTGAATCCAAATACTGTGCTTCCATCTAGAGGAGTACATGGGCAATTTATTTCCAGATACGAACCCAGGATCTCCCATTGCTCCTGTATCAACTTTGGTCTGTTCATCTGGAACACTGCACTTACCAATTTGGGTTCATGAATATGACACAATAAATGACTTTAGATATATGTATTATAAGCATATTCACCACATCAAGTGTGAGCATGGACCACCAGCCCTGTGTCTTCCTTTCAGTGGTATTTTCCATGGGAAAACTTTACTAGAAGCATTTGCTTTTGGAGTTTCCTTCCTATACCATGTCACCTGGAGGCAACAAGGGACTGAATTGCAATCCTGTCTCCATGGAGGAGGTACACTACATCCATATACAGACTCAGATGCTTCCTGAAGAGACCAGGATATGTGGGATACCAGGTACTTAGCAGAGTGAGAGTGCCCTTAGGACTCCTCCTGCTCTCCAGCTTCTCCCCTGAGCACACCTCACTGTCTGGTGAGGGACATCCTTAAGTGGGCATTTCACTAAGAGGTCTTTCCTCTGGCTGCCAACCTGTCTTTTCCTCTTTAATTGACAGTGAGAATGTCATATACAATACAAGATGTGGGCATCACCCATCATCATTTCATGTAAGCAAGGACTGGGGAGGGAAAATCACCCCTTCACCTCCCAGGTTTTGTTCCCAACATCAATAATGTATCTTTGATATTTCTCTGATTCACCTCTGATGAATCACAACCTGGTTTTTGTTTTACTTTCACTACATTCTAACATTGTCAAATGTTCTGCCTCAGTAAGTACATTAAGACTGAAAAGAGTATGTATAAAGCATAAAATACTTTTATACCATACCGCCAACTCTGATGAGCAGTAAGCATTTACTCAAAATGAAAAGTTACTCCAGGAGTACCAAGACCTCCTGTACTAGCATACTGTATCCCTTTACCTATACTGTGATGGAAAATTCTTCAAGGATTTTCCCTTTGGTTTGCAAGAAGGTTAATAGCAAAACTGCATGTCTTGGATAAAATGATGCCTCCATTATTACACTGAAAATCAACACCCACCTTTTCCATGTCATCTCCTCCCACTTAGTGATGATTCCATGCTCGATGGAATATTTCAGTGTCAGGATCCCTCTCTTACTTTGTGCTTCGTCCCCTACATAGCTGTCTTTTTGACCCATTCCCACCAAACACCCTGCAAAGTACATCACTCTAATATTACTGCAGTACCTCACACACATTAGAGACAATATCATTTGTAAATTACAACTTCATGTGAAATATTGTACCTGCTACTGCTGTTCTAGGACATACCCCAGAACATGCAAGGAACTAAAATGTGAATTTATCTGTAATCACCTACTCTATACTAACTCCTTCTATAAACCCAGCAGGAAAAGCAAGGCAGCTTCAAAACCCAAGGATGGCATCTCACACTTGGTGCAACTAATGCCCCTGCAGGAGCACAACCAATGCAGCCATCACCAAACTCATGGTTCTCACAAGTGATGGGCTCTTTGTCGTTGCACAAAGGAATAAAGAGAAGGAATTATAGGGGGTAAAGATATCATCTCCCTAGATTTACTTTATATATTTGGTTGCACTTTCTGCCTAAAGCAGTTCTATTATTGCCTTTAAACAAAGAGATTCCCCTTTGCTGGAAGTTAAATGGTTTTTAAAAACATGTTTAGCAAAAAAGTTTTTATTTATATAAACCAGAATGATTTTCTAAAAGAAAACTCACTTATTAAATAGTAGTTTTACTATGATTATCATAGGAAGCACTGGGAAGCCTATCATGATTGCCCCAAATAATGTAACAACATACAAGGTAAAGTATTACTTATCAAGTAGTATAAAAAGAATTTACTTTTATCACTTATTCATGATTACAGCTGCCAAGCAGTTTAACTGTGCAAAGTTACATGCCAAAAGACAATGAACAATGAGATGCTAAAGAATGGATGTTTTCAACAATTGATATTCAACTGCAATGATTCACAGAGGTGTTCAAAATGAATTCTTTAAAATGCTTAGTATTTTACACCTGTCAAACCAGACTTTTGTAGCTCAGCAAAAGTCCACCTAGAACTACAGGGAAGGGTTTTTATAGACCAGAGAATTAAAATCTGACTCAGATATGAATAAAATGAACAAAAATTTGCATTTTCTATTCATAAAGGAACTGTTACAAAACTAATCAAGCAGAAAGACCCTTTCCAAGGTCAAGAAAAGCCACATTTATCCTCTCTAGTCTTGTTTGAGTTGATAAAGTGATGTGCTAGCGACCTTTTTTGGAAGTTTATTGGGCTGTACTTTCTGAAATAAGACAAGGAACTTAATACTACCATTCTTTGGGTTTCTCATGTTAGCAGGGTTCTGCCTGTCTTTTCTCTTTGTATTGATACAGCAAGTATTTATTAATCCAACAAGTTGAGGTTTTTTTCCCATACGACACCTTCATACCATTAAAACACTCGTGCTCTTTTATAACCCACATTTTATGGCTGAAGAACCCCTTTTCCAAAGGATGAAGTTTACCTCACAGTAATAAAGATGTGCAGCTCAACCCTTCAGTTCTTAACATGCTGAACTCTTACAAGGGCCCATGGAAATAAGCCTGATGCTTTCTCACTGCCATGTCTCAAGTCTCAAAAAAAAACCCCAAACCAACCCCCCAAACCAAACACTTTCATTTTGATACCAACTGACCTGATGTTGAGGTCGTCCAACGATGGATGGAAATACAGCTCTGGGGGAATCACCTCCTGCAAACCCAGCTTTGCAAAGCCCAGAACCATTGTCACATACAAGGGCAGTGGTTTCATCGTCATCACACATATGGCTGCAAGACAGTGATCTGGAGGGATGGGGAGGAAGCAAATGGAAGGAAAAAGGACAGAAGCACCTCTATCAGTTAGACAGCAAGCTGCTGTAAGAAGAATAGTTTGGGAAAAGAATAAACCTAAACAGCAAAGGCTACACTAAAGCCCTAATCTTGCAAAGCATGTTAAGTGTCCACATATGTTTCAGCTTCAGTAGGCAAATTAATTAGGACATTTAAGCTTTTGTTTCCAAAAGGGAAATCTCTTCTTTAGCCGCAAGGGGTCCTGTGATATTCTGTTAATTGGCCTCTGGACCACGGGATAAGTTCAGCTAAAGGATACACAATCAGCTGTACTTGGACTTCAGCAAACATAACCCTATCTCTTCCAAGCTTGAATTATCTTCTAGAAATGTCATTTGTTAAAAATCAGTTGATGATGTGGACCTACCAGTTCTAATGTTCATAGTTAGATGGTAAATTAGTATCACCAAACATTTATTACTTCAAAGACCACAGTGGCATGTTTCAATTTGCCTTTTTCTTCAAGGGTCATCATCAATCTTAAACAAACTACTAGAAATAACCCCCATCAAAAGTTTCAGGGAATCATTTGCTGTGTGTTTTTAAATGGCAGCTACTCTGTAATGTGAAGTGCTCACTACAGCACCTATTCCATATTTGTAAGTGGTAAATACTTCATCGAAGTTGTTATTCTAGGAAACAGGACAAGAGGCAGCCCAGGAACAACTCAACTTCCGCAGTTGGCCAACACATGAGATGAAGTCCCGAACTCATTGGAATTCATGGCAAAACACCCACTGAGGGAGGGCCTGAATCTCACCAAGGCTTCTGCTCCAGATTCCTTGGTTAATTTTAGGACTGTATCATTGCCTTTTTAGGCAGTTGAGTAGAGGGAAGCTTTTTGTTTTTCCTTCTCTGGCAACTTTGCTCAGTAAGGAAGGGTACTGCAGAAAGGAATGTCAAACAGCACTTGTCCAACAAAGTTCCTGTCTTTAACAATGCAAAAGATGTATTAAGCATCATTTTTGCTATTAATGCAAAAAGGTGTTTGACTTCTGATGGCATCATAGTTCCACCTATGCCCGGTGAGCACAGGCAGGCTAAATGGTGGCAGAGCAGCCACCAGCATTAGGGTCTGCCCTGCAACCAAATTCATGCTCTCCTGTTTGTGGGCTTTAAAGTACCTCAGGATCTTCAGAGGATCCTACAAGAATACCAAGCTACCTGGAGATAGTCAACAGGAACAGTTTTGGGTTTTAAAGTTTAAGCTGCATGAAGAACCTGGTGTTCAATCCTTCCCCCTGTGCTTTACAAAGTAAGACTGTGTGATAGGACTGATCCCAGTACTTGCAGGTGAAATGGAAGTGTAATTTGAAAATAGGACATTATTTTAAAGAAGAAAAGTAATTTTAATTCTTGTTGATGTGCTGTGAATGGAAGATTCTTTTTCACATAAGGAAGCACAGTAATTTTATCACATAAATTTGTTGACAGCTTTAATATAGGATTGTTTAACCACTAATTCTAGTAATAAGTATTTTTGAACATCGATTCCTGTTGCCATTATTTTTTTGTTCTAAAACCCACAGGAAAAGGCTTTTAAAAATGCAATAAACCATTTACCAGCAGCATCCAGCATCAGCATCCAATGTTACAGCACTGCACAGAGGCTGTGACCCCACACGTGTAAACCAGGAAGAAACTCAGTTCTTAAATGTATCAGAAATCACATCAAATGTGATACCAGAATTTAATAGTAGAGAATTTTAAAGCAGAGCAGTGCTACAAGGCTCCTTGGTTGGATAGGACTGAGATGTTTAATCCTCCATGGTGAGAAACAATATTCCCAGGACAACAGCAAACACTGAAATGTTCTTCCAGGTTTCAGAGAGACCACACTTTACTGATCCTTCCAGCTATGAGGAATGTCTGTATGTTTCCCTGCAACCATGCAGTCAAATTCGAATTACCTTACACCAGAAGACCCTTTGGAATTCCTTCAAAGCTTGAGGCAAACAGCATCCAAGTCCAGGAAGAAATCTGTAAATCCTCGTAAGATCCCAGACTAAGTGAAGCAAAGTATTGAAATCCTGAGCTGTAAGAAGAGAAGACTCTCAGGGCAGTACTTACCCAGGAAATGGTGATGATTTGCAAAAGCCTCCTCATAAATGAATGATCTCACCTTTCATTACATTTATATCAGCTTCTGGAATGGAGTTCACAGAATATCTATATGTGTCAAGCCATTTTTGGAAACTTTTTTCCTCAGTTTGTGCTTATCACAGTGACAGCACAAAGGCCTGGATAAATTAGGGCAGAATTTCTAACATCTCTGGATCCTTTCCCACTCCCTAACTTGCTCTGCCTCATGACAGAGGGTTGTTTTCTCCCCTCAAATGAAAATCCCTCATCGTGGATGATTAAGACTGGAGGAATGTGTAGGTCCACTGTTGCCATTGGAAAGTGTTCTGCTTTGTTATAACACAATTAGCTAAGAATAGCTCATTAGCATTCTGTTAACACTCATCTTCAAGCTGGAAAGGGAGAAGTCTTCACATGTACAGTAATTATGTTTCAACTGTACCTGGTGGTTGTTTGTGTGGCGCAAAGACTGAAAATAGCTGACTTATCTCAGGGCTTGGGTGACAGTATGGCTGAAAACAGGGACTGAATCAGCAATCAGCCATTCAAAAGAGAGGAGCCATTACCATTCTACAAAAAAAAGACATCAGTTATATTGGACTAGGTTGGATTTATATAGACATTCAGAACTTTGCTTGACTAAGAAATATTAAAGAACCATCAAAAGAATAAGATTCACAGGATTTACCTACAGTAGTAACTACGCCTGGCAGTATCTCCTATGACACCTGACAAAAACAAGTGATAGAGAACACCAAATACAATTCAGTAAATGTTAACTCTGCAAACATAAATGCCAACCAATCCCTCTTTCTTACCTGCCATGCGACTGCTCAGACCTCACACACAAGAATCCTTAGGCAGGTAATTCACTTCACTAGTATCTATTCAAAGTCAATGTGCCCATTAGTAAACCTGAAGTAATCCTTCCATTTCCATAAACATTAGGTTTTTCTTTTCCCATAAGGCTTTTAGGATTTCAGTCCAGCAAATTGGAAACCAAACAGCTACTCTTCTTTTGTGACTTACGTCTATGCCCTTAGACTTGTTTTGATTGTATCTCCATTTTATACAGATGAGAGCAGAAATGCCAGCAAACAATAATACAGGGGTTAGAAACAACCTTCCATTTTCCAGTGGCCATAGTCTTCACAAATAAGCTATTTTCTTAATGAGATAAATAGTTGTGCAGTTTCAGAGAACACTGTAACAAAACATGGACGAATTAATATGCAACGCATAACACTATTATGTGCCTAGAGAAACTGAATGCAATCCTGCTTCTTACAGCCTCTTGGTTGAAAATACACCCTTTATTCATTCGTACCTGGAGGCTCAAACATGTAAAATATGTTGTGTCTTTTATAAGCTTTAATTTCATGTGTTGAGCAGCTGAGTAACATTTTGCCCCAAAGACAGGCAGTAACTAAACCCATTAAGACAAAAAATTCAAGTGAATTTAAACAAACAAAGATCACATGAAAAATTACAGAACTTGCACCTTTAACCAACAGTAGAGGAATATAAGAAGTTGAAGACATTTCTTCATGTCATCTCAAATTTGAATCTTTAATCATTGGCTTATCTGCTTACCACACACAAATCTGCACACCTTGCCATAGCCATTACAAACTGCACGGCCACAGAACAACCTTCTTAATTCTTTTATTTTCAGCTAAAAAATAACCCCCCAAACCAAACAACACCCAAACAAAAAATATTAAATCAAAAATCCAGTAGTTCTTCCTTTATTGCACTCTATAAAACTTCTTGTTATAATCAAGAAGCCAGTGAACAGTAATAGCTGAATATTCCTTTAAAATTTATAGTTTAACTCTTAAAATAAAATTTATATAGAAAAGATATCATTTACAACCCATTCAGTAGTAATCAATCATTATGTACTCACAAACAATATTAAATAACTTGTATGCAGCAGTTTCTTTATAGGGCAGAGGGAAATATTTTCTCCTTAGCAAATATAATATTCCACTGTTAAAGAGTGATTCAAGTCAACTTTGGAGCAACTGTGATATACACACATTTCTCTTTAGAAGCTCAAGATTCATGTAGTGTAACGAGAATATATACAACTGTGTCCAGTGCATAGCTTAACAGCAGCATGTGAAAAGTCTATAATCTTGAATTGGCACACCACTACCTACAGGGAAATAAGTTACCCAAGAAAATGCAGTGTATTCAGAGAACACCCGTGAGGCACAGTAAAACAACAAGATGTAGCGTAACCAGGTACGTGAGGAATAAATAGCGGGATTTTGCTCTGGAGGTCAGCAGCTTAGAACAGTAAAGACTTCGTCCTCGAAGCCATCTTCGGATGGAAAGGGCTCCTCCTTTCATCTGGTTAGGAAACAAAAAGCATCCCATAAGTAATCATGAATACAAATGAAAGGAAGTTCCACTGCAACTTGGATTCCTGAGCCTCTCTAAACCTTTTGCTGCCAGTGCAGCAACGGGTGC